GGACGTTAAACCGCATTTCGTTTCATTTCTTATTTTTGTTAAAAATAAAAACAACAAAAAACATCACATACAACATATACGCAAAAACCAGCTCCGTTCGAAAATATATCATACGTATTGAATACATGAATCATCTGTGCCATGAACAACCCAAATAACCCAATTTACAATCCTTCATAATAAAATAGTTCATTACTGATAGTATTATGTTTCAAAAACTGGATTGTGTTACTATTTTTAATTATAGACAGAAATGATTTAGGAGAACAGTAAATTGTCACCTCTACTTCTATTTATAATAATATATACTAAGTAGCAAAAGAAATGTCCGGTTGGTATGTTACTCTGAATGGACGCATTATATAAAACTTGCCAAATGTTTTTATTGTATGTGACCACATCTCCAACTTTACCTGCGAAATAAGTCTCCTTCCCAAACACAGAATTGAACCCAGGAAATGTTCTCAAAAACGCAACCTGACTTCTGACATGGTAATGTGTTCTCCATGATTTTTATGTAACTCATGCTGCGCGTGCTGTTCCCCGGGACCAGCCCTATAAAATGCACCCCCATACATGGTTGAATCATTCACACTACAACGTCGGCAGCATGCCACGACTCACGACAGCTCAGAGGAACCAGACGCTTGGACGACTCAACGCTGGCCACACTGCCCAAACCGATGCCAATCACTTCCAGGTCAATGTTCGGACCATCTACAGGCTTCAGCAACGCCCCTGAACTGGTAGACCAAGAGTTACAACAAGGCGACATCTACAGGCTTCAGCAACGCTTTTGGGCCACCAACACCACGGATGATCGCCCCTGAACTGGTAGACCAAGGGTTACAACAAGGCGACATACTGTTCACAAAAAATTGCTTTGATCCATTTAGTAAGTCGTTTTCTAGAATGATTTGATTACAGTGCCTCTCTGATTTTGACGTTTCTTTTGCTGTTTAGTATATATTAACAATAATATTCGAGGTAATGAAATAAACATAAAGAGAGAGGGGGAGAGAGAGAGGGGGGGGGGGGTAACGTCTACTCGACACAAACTAGGTAATTTCGGGACTAACACATGGTTCAATTGTATTTCAATAATTCGCTTGCGCGTAGAGGTCGTTATCAATGGGAGGAAACCGGAGGATACGGAGAAAACCCACCCGGTTGGACAGGCGAGAACCTACTCCTTGTCACGCACAACAGGAGAATCGAAACCACGCCAGTTGACTCAATGACAGACCTTGTGATACAGCGCGCACGTTCTAACCATTCGCCCCCCCCCACACCCGACCCCGTGAAACGGTAGACATATATCTGTAGATAATATAATAAAGTACAACACATTTTGTATCCGTTTTATATTTCATGCATGCTTATTTTTATTTCATTATTTAACTATGTTCAAGGGCAAAGAACCATTTTAGTTTATTTATCAATTATACAAAGATAATGGTCATATTTGTACGTGGTATTTTTGTATTCTAATAATAGTTAGCGATGACAGCCACCAAAATCAACTTTTTAAAAGTTTCTAGACACCTCCGTTCAATAGCCATACTAAATTAAAGACTGCATTCATGACGTCACTGGCGGACAAGAGTAGAAACACGACTAACAGGCCCAAGTTCACAAAGCATTCTCAGATTTAAGTTAAGAATTTACTGAAAATTGCTTGCCTTATTTTGACTAAAATATAGCCCTTTATAAAACTTGTGTTGTTTTAATGTATCAAATACATCAATAAGAAACTATGTGCACATTTTTGTGTTTCTGGATCAAAGTTATTTCTCATAAACAGTGATTGGAAGTTGAGTAAATTCTTAAGTCTGAGAATGCTTTGTGAGCTCGGGGCCAGATTTGGTGATATCGATGACGTCAGTAACGCATTACTATTTAATTAAACTTAGCACTTAAAAGGTGGACCATCTCCTTAAAGGATTCAAATTTCGATATAAGTAAGAACCCTGTTTAATATAAAATTATGTAGTTTTTTTCTGCGGGGCAGATAGGTAAAATTGATATAAGACACCCCGGGGAAATATCGCTTTAATTAACATATTATATGTTTCGTGTAGACAATTTTTAGCAGTCTTATTTTATTAATTTTGTCTATATCATAAGAAACAATATCCCCGAGGCGGAACAATGTTCTTTTTGTTAAGGTCTCCTGAAGATCAATTTAGGCGTAATTACGACTCAGTTATAAATATATGAACTTATTAAAACATTTTTGAAGCTGATTTTGATTTATTTCAGCCTTTAGAGGTGTGTCCAGACAAACCTTTTTCAATTAGTGAAACCCTGAAATCAAATTAGGTTGGGATTTATTGAGGTTTGGGATTTGGGAATTGAACATTTGAAGGAATAAATATTTGGCTGTAGGCTGTTTTTGTTATGTTGAAGGGGCACCTGACCCATGTCTGTCTATATATTCAATTTGTTAAGGAACAAAAGAAATAATTGCTGATTCAGCAAATAAATGCGACTTTGATTAAATGAAATAAAATGGGGTTTAACTTACTAACGTCCTGCTCCGACTAGGCTAATGAAGACGGGCGAGATCGATTAATCCTCCGATTCAAACCAAGGTAATGTATCGGACCACTCGTCAACTCTTTTATTTATCAGTAGTTTAATATGGTACTAACAAGGTTAGCTAAAAGAAGGGGACAATCGTTGACTTGGAAATAACTTCAACAGTCATCCTTGAAATGAATTTGGGTTTAATGCCCTATGTTTCTGCAGCAGCCGGGTATACGCCATGAAGGGTGCAATGAAGGAAACTTTGGTCGGACAGCAACGTTCTCGCCTGTTCCTCATCGAATCCCAACTGTAAAATGTTGTTTACGTGCACGCCAGCGAGTACCTAGACTGACATCATTTATTTGTACCATCTAAACGACTGGACTCCATTCCTTGAGATACTCGCTGCCCTGCATAAGGGGAAAGCTGACTGGTAAATCGAGATGGACCACCAGGTTAGTGAGCCAGCGCTATGCTAGCTGAGCCACAATCATCCTATTACAGAACAAAAGCCTGACAGCATGTATAGAAGAATTAAACAAATAGGTATTGAAAGCAAATTCCATTACCTGCTGGTGATGAATTGGTAAATAATCCCGGCCTTTTTATCTACTTATTCGATAATATTATTTTAAGAGACATTTAGTTTGGCGATATAGTTATAAATCGATATAAAATAATTATTGAGTTGACTTTATTTAATATAAAATTACACGGGGTGTTACATATTAGATTGTGTACAAAATATGAGTCTCGTTCGCTTATCCATTTAATAGAACAAGAAACGACAATTTTGCTGACAATAAGTACCGCCTGTTAGTACACCTTCCCTTTAATTTGAATAACAGAGCGATTCTTAGGTTGCTATGAGTGTTAAAATAATATTACTTTCAGGTACAATTATAAGGCGTTATACGGGGATTTAATGAAAAGAACAATTGTAATAATTCAAATAATAAAACGACAAGCGAAAAACAAACATCCGTTAGGATTTCTTTACACCTTTACCTTTTTCGTCAGTGTTATATTTAACAGTTATCCATTATTGTTTACTTACACGATAATTAATCGGATGTCCTTTTTTAACCAACCACAACATCAACTGCCACGGTCTTTGTCTTATAATGTAATGATAACACAGTCGGTCTGTTCCATAAGTTCAGATTTTCATCTTATAGACAGTTTTTTTCCTGTGTCATTTATTGAGGGTGTTATCTTCTACAAAGCTAGCCTTTCGGTAATTCCACAAGGATAAAGCATAATTGTTAAAGGACCAAAACCCATAAAGAAAATGAAAAAAAGACGCCAAATGCTAGCAAAAGATCATCTGTCGTGTTTTAAGTTAAACCTTTTATAAACTGGAGACTCTAGAGAAATGGCTTCTTCATGAGCAAGATGATTCTCGCTTAAGCAGATTAACAAATGGATAACAATCTCTACATCAAAACTGAGATAAATTGAACGGGACTTCAACATGAGTCATCTCGTAATACTTTCAGTTTCTCATTTCTTTTGCAAAATAAAATATATTTAATTTCTTGAGTAAAATTGAGCAGTGCCTTGTGAATGATCACCATTAGAAAGGCATATATTGTACAAAATGCTATCGATAGTACAAAAGCTAAATAGATGTATATTAATCGATTTCAGTTTACCTACTACAAGAAATAGCAACTGTAATGTTTGTAAGCTACAAAATAATAAGATTTGACCTTTTAATTTGGCAATTTTACTAAATAAGTCTACTCGTTTATCCATTACACAGATACAGATGCTTCTAAGGTAGACCAGAGTTTAAGGTCATGAAGAAAGACAAATATGGATAATGTTTGGTAATATCATAAACCCATGCAATTTTTAAATTGAAGTATAAAAGTGTAGTAGCGTGCTGATACCAAATAACATGTGAATTCCTTACATTATACCTTGAACACCTTTGTAATGTTCGTTCCTTTGTGTGCAATATATTCATCTCTTTTAAGCAAGCGACTTAAAGAACCTTTGCATCTTATAGCTAATTCTGTATTGACATATTCCCTTCTTTATACACAATAACAAATAGCATTTACAGTAATCAATGGTGGAAAGGAAAAAGTCGGTTGAACGAACTCAATAATTCACTAATCAGTCTGCCCGTTACCTTTGAGACACTGGGTTTTATGAACCGTTAGTTCGATTGCTAAATCGCTTGCCTGGTGCCGAGTTCTTAGTGTTATGCATTAATAACATTATCAATAAAATCATGTTTCATAAGGGTTGAAGGCCCATGACTCTACACTGGTGACAAATGTGCCAGATATTCCCAGGAGGAGTCGTGATCGGAGAGAAAGAGACATATAAATATGGCTTTGAGAAACAGAATAACGAGGATCATATAACGAAAACTGGTCTTGGAAAGAACATAAATGACACAAACAAGAAGTAGCGATACTGATTCCAAAAGGTATATGTTTAAACAAAGTCCTGCTTACCGGTATTCTGGAATAACTGCTAAGCCAAGCCCAGTCATCGGGGTTAGCTGAACCCGAACCCTCTACCACATGTCTACGTTCTCTTGTCGATTTCACTTCCTCGCTATTGTTATCATCACCTGTATATTGTCTTTGATCAGCTGGATCTGACCACGTGGACGGTATTATCTGATCATCTTCAATAAAACCACTTTCTTTAAATTTAACGTACATTACTTCACTTTTTGAAACTTTGTCATCGAGTAAAATTTTCAAGCGTTTAAGTTCTGTGTAGCCCATCCACACCGTGGTGGCTATTAATGTTGTTAGTAATAATGTAATTAAATATAAAATACGTACATGGATGTCCGTAGAGGTTAACTGTCCTTTAGATGCCATAGCGATCCTATTTTTAAATAAAGTGAGACAATTAACCTTTGTATATATTGTAACGTATCGCGGACAGTAACGTTACACCACTGTTGACGTCCTAGAAGTTCCACTTAATTGCTTTCACGTGCTCTGAAGACTCGCGGTTTTTCGGTCCCTAACTAATGCTAGAGGTTTTTTTTGTAGCGTTTAAAATGTACCAAAACACGCTAATCTTCTCTAAAGTCTGTCATTTATCAAACCTTTTTGTATCCATGTCATCAACCATCTAATGTTCAAACTGGAAAGAGAAAAAAATCCAAAACTCAAAATCCTCTTATATTTTTTTCTAGTTGAATATGAGAAATTATAAATCCAATATAAATTCTCCACCAAGATAATTTCGATGCTGTGGTTCTCATGAAGGATCCCAATGATAGACAGAACTATTTAATGCGTATTATAAGTATTGCACCCATCCACACAACACTCAATAAAATTTACATTACAACTAAAAGCAACACTTGTTAATCCTCAACAAATCTTTTCCTTACTACTGGTGGGAAAACGACAGGAAAATACGTTTCCTTTTGTCATTGCTGAGACCTTCCATTGATCTAGGAATAGTAAAATTACATTAAGAGTGAAGGCACTTAAACACAATCGTACTGTATATACAGTTATATCCGACAACCACTATTCTGTTATTCGAATTGATGGAAACCACACCAAACAAATGAAATTGAAAATTTTCAAATATTTTCTTGAACCAATGAGATGGCAGAACGTTTAAACCTGTCCAAGAAATATTAAAGAACACTCAATCTCTTATGGAATTTAACTCGACAGTCAACACAATTAGGTGTTCCCTGGGAAAAAAACCTCCAAGATAGTATGACATTAATCAGCTTTCACTCTGCCAATGGTCCTAACTCACGTGTTTTGTAATTCGGCATTGTTCTAATCCCATGTATTTATTCTATAAAGCAGCACGAAAATGTCCCATCACGAATCTGAAGCATTTAAACATATAACTGGCGATAAAAAAGGTTACAATTACAATAAACTTTTCCACATAATTCAACAGATTGTTTGCAATTCCCTTTAATTTGACTAGAGCCAATTTTATAGACATGTAAGTCTATAAGTTTGAGTTGAATTTCTACCATGTAACATCATTGATAAAGTCTTCTTCGGTATGACTCGCCACGTTATCGGATTCCCCGTTAGTCTGATATTTCATCGGCTCATATAAGCGTTATGATAGATTGTTTCAGCGAAACACGGAAGGCCGTAATCTTGCCTTGTAGAGCTCGAAACGTCGTTCACCACGCTATATCTAACGCTTCTAGTAGCTTTCTGGAAAATCGAAGAGTCGCATTTGTGAAGTGACGGTCTGTATTATAGCCCAAATCTGTCGAAGAAAGTCTAAGAAGACATAAGCTGTGTAGTTACTTCAATTAATTATACGATGAGCGAGTGATAGCTATTTAAAGCGGCTGCTACAGTGTGCTGCATTAGTGCCAGTTTATGGTATTTGAGGGTTTCATTTCAACACAGTGACAATATTGATTCAACCATAAATCTACCGTCTGAAGAAATATTTCAGCTTTATAATATGGTAGAATTTCAATTGTTTAATTGTTACACACAACGCCTGCGATAATTCAAAATCATAATTTAAAAATTCTTCTGATTGCGCTGGAAAAGAAACGTTATAAACAAAACGGACGTTTCAGCTATAAAAAAAGTAAACGTCGTTTGTACACTTTTGGGCACATATGGCATTTTAAATTAATTCCATTAAACAATTCTTAGTATACTAATAATAAGCAACTTATTATGGTCATCAACTCCCTGACACTAATAAAATATCAATGATTGCAATAATCAGATAATAAGTAATTTAATTACCTTCACGTTGTAAGATTATTATATTTGAATTATATGAATTTGATATGTGTTCCAGTTAGCATTCCTTTATGTACAGTGCAATCGATAACATGAGGTTTTAGATTTGGACCTTTACAATACTACGTGTAGGGCTAGAAGTGAAGAAACAGTTCGATTGGTTTGATGAGGCTTAACAAATCATACAGATGATTTGAAATGAAGCTCGCCAGAAGAGTGAATATTATCTCTTCCCAATTATCAAAGTTTTATTCCATTTAAAATCTGTAATCTGATTGCAAAAGGATTTCAGATAGAGGAGGGAAATTTAGAGTTCCCTTAATAGCACGATGACCAGGGAAATAATAGACTATTAAAAGCATGAAAACATATAGATTCTTTGGGTGTTTAATTGTGCCTAATTATTAATTGGCAAAGACGGAAATTACCCCTTTAGTAGAAATTGATTTGCTCTGTTGGGTGTTAATATCAGATAAAGAATACAACCAGAGAAGATAATATAAAAAACGTATCATTATAAGTAATGTCTGCATCATTAACATCAGGATATTTTCACAGCAGAGCTTGGTTGAACTACTTTGTTTCAATAGCGTTTAGTGAATGAACTAGAAATACACAGAATACACTTCTATAAACTACAATTGCTGTTTATTACTGAGCCACTTTTTGGCTAGGTTTCTGCAGCCTTTATTAAGCAATGACACTCGGTAATAAACAGTAACGCTATTCCATAGAGCCATTTCCTGTTTACTTCTAGTATTTCGAGGATCAGTTCTGCATGACAATATTTTATTCGCAAAAATGTGTGCAATGTATTTATGTATTGTTGGCCCCGCCTTTCGAAGAAAGCAGGGGACTATTTACAATGGGTCTGTCCGCCAGTCTGTCTGTCTTTCAATCATACTTTTTGGGGCACAATAACTCTGCGTCTAATTAAGATAAATGTGCGATTAATTAATATGTGTCATCTATTGATTTTGGGGTTTCGGCGGGGACATCAGCCTCACTGTTGGCATGCTAATATTGTGACCATATGTTATTTAAACTAGATACACGGCCTAGTTTCTTTTTGTCTGCGATATCACCTCGGTGGAAGTGGACGTAAAATACAACTAACAAACAACAACAACCTAGTTTCTTTTGATGATTTTTAATTGCTCAATCCCTAACAGCAATACCATGCTGAATATTCATTACAATTCACAGAATAAACTACATGGACTAAGACTAGTAATTATTTCCCCTTATTTCATGATGGACGAATGTAGTGCGAGTTATAAATAGACAATTTTTCCCTTAAATTTTTTCTCCCCTCTTCCTGCATTTTTGGGTTGACTTTTTGGTCTAGAATTGGAGAAAAGGGATCAAATTTGCAATTTCATAGCAGTTTTGGGTAATACTGATGATATTACAGCGGAGGGATAGGGGGTGTAAAGTGTCTTTCTGCAGAGCAGTCATTGTGTCGGAAGTGAGATTTTCACCCCAGTCAACTTCAAATCCGTGTAGCAAAAAATCTAAATGGTCAACCCCCTACAAAATTATGATGAGGAGATTGCCAAATGTTGTCCCCATTGTGCCTATAAAGATTGGAACCAACGGAATGTTGAGAAAAAAGCTACAGCCTGTGATGTTACAGCCATTTAACATTGAAGTCAATGGGCAAATAATTGCTAGTCTGAGTCCACATGGATGTTCCTCAGTTATCTTTCCCATTCAACTGTGGAGAACTTTTCTACTGTGACATTACACTATTGAAGCTAAGGATTCACAACTCAGCTACCAGATACTTACTTTTTAAATGAAAAAAAGTCACAATTATACAGTTTGATCTATGTTATGTTGAGCAGATCACCGGCAACAGATTACCAAATCTGTTGAGTTCACTATCAGGCGGCCCCGGTGTTGCCCGGGAACCTTGCTCGGGATTGTCCAGACTGGATTTCCCTGGTCATTGATGTAGAACAAAAGGGATCTAATCTTTCGGATGTGACGAAAAAGTTAGGTCAATCTGTGTACTAGCTGAATGTATACCAATCTTCATGAGCCCGGTTGATACATAAAAGTAGGACTTTAAATTACATTTCATTTCAAGAAATTTAAATAAATTTAAATACATATATGTACTGAATTTATTTATTGATCCCATGAGACAACAAAGAGTTTATAAATAATAAAGCATGTGTTTATTTTTATGAACAAAACAGATGTTTTCATCCATTTGTTTTAACAACATTTTCAAAATGCCAAGTAGGTGTTATGTTTTCGGCATTTAACTACTTTCATACATCATTTTCATTATGCACAGCTTATCTTACTTTCAACCATTTTACACAAGATAACACTTTTATAAGTACCACCTAGGGAAAACTGTTTAAGTTGACAAATGTCTGCATAATTGACATGTTTGAGCTGTGACTACAAAAATTCGTTTGTCAATCGAAGCAGGCATGCAGGAATGGTCTTTTGTGGTAGTTTATTGAACTACAGCACCGGAACTCTAACTCTTGTTCACTATACGCAAGCAATATAAGTAATGTGGTTCGTGCGGACTGGTGTATCTAGCCATAGTGGACCTGGGGACTTTTTCACGAAGTTTTAACTAAGATAAAATCCAAATTTTTTTAATTTGATAGGATAATATTAGATTGAGTTTAGTGCTTAGCCAATCAAAATTAAGGTACATGTATCTACTAAAATTTGGATTTTATCTTTAGTTAAAATTTCGAGAAACAGGATCCAGAGCTTTGCGGACACTGTCTTTACGCTTATCTTCAGATTTTCAACTTAGATATTATTCTTATTAGGCACGAATTTGATAATGAGAATCCCATCTTTAGAATACCAGTAATCATAATTTTTTAAATATTTATTCAGGATTTCAGATCAAACACGCCATTAATTTACTATATCGAACATGCAAGCACAAATAACTATTCCTCTAAAGATTCCTAGTGATTTTTTACGCGATGTTCAATAAAGTTGTTTAGAATATAGCAAGTCTTAATTCCAGATAGTTCTTATTATTAATATTCGTTTGGATTAGCCATTCTATATTACCGTGTTGATTGAGGCGTAAAACTGCACATTTTATAAACATTCTATTTTTTATTTCATCAAACGAAACAAATAACCTGTTAAATTGGATTTCTATCGTGTTTGAATTATATCTGGACTCGCGAAAAAATGCTTATTGTCTTTAATGCCATAAATTTTTTAGAACTGTTTGTCAAAAACCTTGGAGATGCTTGTATTTTAAGAAATCTGTGGTGATAAAAATGTGCTATAATTTCATTCTGAAAAACACATTTGAATAATTGTAATTTTGAGAATGATCTGGAATTGAATTTAACCATTTTTACTTCAACCTATGGTGAATGGAAATTTTGGTCTCATGATTAGTAATTAGTCACTCGTTATCCAGCATAGACTGAGTTGAACTTTATTTTGCCAGTGTAATTCCTCTAGAGAATTTCATATTGAATTGTGATTAAGTAAAGTTTGTATTCAGTATTGACAAATCGGGCTACTATAGATCAGTACATTATGATATCAGATGGGTCAGATAAACAAGGCAGTGCATTGTAGTTAAATCTGTCAATAAATTCAATAATAAAGAAAAAACAATTGATAGAAATATTTTCTAGATTTTTTTAAAAATAAATAATCTCCAGATCTGTTATTGTGATTTAAACAGTACATTGTAGTTAATTCTGTCGATAAATTCAGTAATGATAAAAAAAACAATTGATAGATTGTTGGTTGTATTACTTTTTTGTGTGTGAAGTATGTATAAAACGTTGCCTTCACAACGCACAGATTTGATATATCCAGATGTAGAATGAACATCCAAT